GATCTTGACCCGTGCCACAAAGGCCCGTGCCTATCCGAAACCAACCCGTACCGATCCGAACCATTTTTCTTATAGGGCTTGCAATTCTAGTTGCTAACATCATTGTTAGTGAAGTATGTATATATATTATTATTATTATTATTTTTATGAAAAATTTCATTTGCCATTAACTTAATTACTCTTTTAATAAATATTAGGAAGGTTACAATGATGTGGATATATTAGAAACTTTAAAAGGCATAACACGTTCAGTTGCAATACTTTTTTCGACACCACCAATATTATCTTTTATACATCCCTGGCTTCAAGAACAATTTGTCACGTAATTTTATTTTACTTTTTAAAAAAAAACAAAACTTTAAAATTCAGTTATTCACATAAAAATAACCTTAAATTATTCATTTCTTGTTGTTTAACAGAATTCCCTATATGTTTAAGCCTGTCATCGAAAAACGCCTATATGATAAAAAGAGATTGGGTGATTCTTGGGTTGCTCCAGTAAGTTAACTATAAAAATATATTTATTATTAAGTGAACATTTAAATTATATAACCTTTTTTTTTTAATTTATAAATAGTTGGATTTATTACAATACTACTTAGATGATCCAGAAATAACTCCTGATCTCGATCCAAATAATGTAAATTATGATTATATTGCCGATGCGATCAGTTTTTTTATTTTTGCTGCTATTGAAACGACATCTCAAGGTGCCACCAGTGCTTTATACGGTTTGTAATTTTCTACTTTCATTTTAAAATGTTTTAGTTCTATTTTTTTTTTTTACTTATAATTATTTGAAAATTAGATTTGGTAAAAAAAAAAAACAACAATATTGGCAAGAATTATATCAGGAGGCTCAGAAAATTAATAAACAGTGTAATGGAAATGAACTTACATTTGATGATGTTAACAAAATGGTGAAATTGGATAGTTTTGTTAAAGAATCTTTAAGATTTTCTAATACTGTAACTGGTGCGCCTCTCAAAAATATTTCTAAATCTTATTTTACATTTGTAAATGGTTATCAAATTCCAAGTGGTAATCTTTTTTTTTTTTCTTAGTTTATTTTTTAATTTTCGACCATAACAATTCATACGTCTTTCTTCCAATTATTTTAAATTATAGGTCGCGTAGTTATCTCTAACCTTAGTGACATCAATAATGATGAAGAACTTCAAGGAAAAAATCCCAGAGTTTTATGCATACCGTCATCTGGAACGTAATTCTCCTGCAACAAAACTCGAACGTGGTTTTTTGATATTTGGGGGCGGAAAACATGTGTGTCCGGGTAGATTTTTAGCTGTTAATGCAATTAAATTGCTTTTAATAATATTATATTAAATTATAACGTTAGAACCGATACTGAGGAGATTGGACCTAATAGAAGACATTTGAGAGCTAAACCTGTGCCGATAAAAGGTAGCCTGGTATTTGAGAATAGAAAGAAGTTGTAAATTAAGAGTTAGAATATGGGCGAAAATCTTAAATTTTTGTGATTAGACAAGTTGAATGATGAGATTACACAATAATAAATAAATATAATATGATTACTAAAATTAAAAGTGATTATTGCCAGTGATTATAAAATTACTTATGAGTTATTTATCAGTTATTTATCAGTTTATACGCTGTTCATGAGTAAAGTAACCAAAAATATCACACACATGGGCGGAATTCTTGATTTTAGTGATTCGAATTTTAGTAATCACAACATCATCAGGAAGTTTTGAAAGTATTAACTTACAGGGTGTGATGCGTTGCTTAACAAACCCTATATAGTTTAACACTTTTTATTAATTTAATGTTAATTAACAGAGATGTGATAAATAGCTGATAAATAGTTATTTATCACATCTCTATTGTTTAACACCAATTTTATTAATACAAAGTGTAAAGCTATGCAGGGTTTGTTAAGCAACGCATCATATCCTGTTAGTTAACACCCTCGAAACTTCCTGATGCATTATATTAAAATTTTCGCCCATATGGATCATTATCCGGCAAACTCATATGATCATGAAAAAATTTCTTTCTGTTATTTTTTCATGTGTGTTACGATATAATTATGTTATTCCAATATTCAAAAAATAAAACTCAGCGAGCGACTCCCTACCAATCATGATCATAAATTGCCGGATAACACCAATATTGGGCAAATTGTCGAATACGGTAATTTGACAAATGATTGGCTATACGTGCCGCAAAGCGGCATGTGCTCATTTGCCAAATTACCATTATTCGACAATTTTTGCCCAATATTGTATACATACTCTCATTTCCAAAGCTAAATTAATTGAGATTAATAAAAACCTCTGATCTCTTTTTTCCTGTTAACTAGATATTCTAGCTTAGTGAAGTGTGTTAAGAGCAAAGAGCTTTTCTGATTCACGCATGGATTCCTCTGATTCTATATGATCTTTTTTAATTGAAGCAATTAGATTATATAAGACATCTAGTAAGGAGTTTTGGCAAGGACCCTCAGCTGAAATTTTAGATAAGTTAGAATTTTGAATAGATCCATGCTTTAACAGTTTCTTTTTCTTTTTTTGCTTTTCTTGCATATTCATCTCAGCAGATGATAGTCCCAGAAAAACCTCTATAATCTCAGATAATTCTTTTGAAGTTAACTTCTCAGGCACTTTGCAAGGTGGTTTAGCATAAACTTCTGAATCATTCTCTGAAGAGATAGTTTGTGCTTTTCTAAGCTTCTCATAAAAGTGGTTTTCATTTTGCTAAAAATGCTTACAATCATTCCATATATCATGAACACGATTTTTATTAATATGGTACTTCTTTACTATCATATATACTGGAACTTTATTTTTGAGGCATCTAATTTCTTCAATCTGTTTAGATGTTAAAACATTCGCACTTTGCTGATAATGAGTTTTTAAAATTGAGATAGCTATAGTCTTCTGATATTTTTTAGACGATGTATTTAAATGTATAAAAAATATTAGGCATTAATATTTATCGTTTTAGATGAATAAAATATATTAGAAATAAATATTTATCATTGTAGAATAGAATAGAGCATTAAAAAATATAATTTATTAATTTAGATAGATAAAATATATTCCAATTCGCTATCTATAATTAATGATAGTGAATGATTGATATTCTTCGTATTCATTCTTTATTTATCGTAATTATTCTTTAACAAAAAATATGAATTTTTTTTTTTACATGTTTATGGCCAATATAAATAAATGAGAATACATGATCTTAAAAAAGAGATACATTGCATTCTGCAAGACTTATCCAAGATACGAGATTATAATGCTAAGTTGCGAAGTGAATATATAAAACTCAATGATGAGAATAGGCGATTAAAGGTTGAAAACTCTAAACTAATATTCCAGAGTGCTTGTACAGAAATATCTCTTGTTAAATCTAAGGCTGATAACTTTGCAAAATCAGAAGAAGTAAAATTACTTCAGTTTGTAATTAATTTATTGGCCCTAAGATACTTTGACAACAATCAATCAGATTCACTTGTAGCTGGTAGTGAAAAAATTGATGAGCCAGAGGGGGTTAATACTTCCAGTACAATTATTTCTAACATGTTCCCAGAAGGACTAGATAGTTCTATACAAGAACAGAAAAATAATAGCATAAATTTGAAGGCTGTTTTCCCAAAACCAATCTTACCTGCTATTTCAACAAACAAGATTTCATTAGGTAGTGCAGAAGGGATGGGGTCTCAAAGAGACCTGGCCAAGCCATCAGGTATCCCCATTATTGCAGACAAATCATTGTTATCAATACTCACCTATTTGTTAATACTTTTTTTATTGATCATAATTATATTGTTTATTGTTATAAAACAGCTATAGAATATATAGAAAAAAACTAAACGATATATTTAGAATAGCAATTGGCATCCCTAACATATCCAAGGCCAACTATATGATCGGAGGCTAGAAAAGGTCATCTTGTAACCAGATCTAATATAGAAATTGAAGTTAGCCGGTATTATTGCATGAAAAAAATATATAAATAATATTATACAAAGCACTTTATGACTAAGTTTTTTTAGCTAGAATTACTAGACCTTACTAAAAGTACTTAACCATATAATTCGATGATCTCATTTATATCTGCTTTGGACAAATTATCTTTTTTATCAGCCTGTAACTTCGATGATGCTCGATAGCATGTGATTTCTAGGCCAACCACTTTGTATCACGTGTTCTGCAAATCAGCTAATATTTCATATCCATTTTCTTGAATATATGTTAATATATATTTTTCTAAGGTCATGGCTTTAGATTTGTGCTTACCGGCCTTAGTAACTAATTTATACATTTCTTCTCTGCTTTCTATATCATCTTGGGAAATTTCTGCAAGTAATGTCATTAGCTTTATGTGAATTGATTCCTCCTGCTTATCTAATACG